TTAATGCCTAGATACTAATTTTCATCAATATATCTACTTTTGTTGCGAATCCGTGGCAGATTGAACTATTTTTTACTTGACTAGTTTTGAAAATGCCCCTACACAACCCCCTGATTAATAATAAAAAAATTATCTTTTTATATGAACATGTGTCAGATAGGTTAAAACTAAAAGTCAGGAGGTCTGAGGGGTATTGCTTTGAAACTCCTGCAGTTATGAAAGAAAAACCAACTAGGGGGGCACTTTGTGCCCCCCCCTAGTCTGGATAGGGTTAACAAGGTTCTTATATACGTACAGGCCTTGCACATATTAACAATGTTTTCCACCGCAAGAATTGTAATGGACATACTTAAACCAGCTTTGTTTTTTATGTTAAACTTCAACCAATAAAATGAATTTGTGTTGTAAGGTTGGCCAATAAGAATGCAACATAGCTACCATAACCTGATTTACTCTAAGCTGGTTTAATTTGCCAGTGTGAATAGGGTGTAAAAATACAATTCTAAAAACCCTTTATCTTATATATAAGAACCTTTTCAAATTTCAGCCTTTTGGGGGTTCTTAATTATGGGGTTGAAGAGATTAAATTTAAGCCTGAAGGCTCTTATAAAAATAGGTTCTTTTATGCAGGCTTCTACTGTAGAGCATAGTTAAGAGAAAACTTTCCAAAAAGTTCTCTAACCTATTATTGCAAAAAAAGTGGAAGGGCTAAATCCCCTGCTAGTACGTAAAGTAAAGTTTTTAAGAATAATAGTTTTAATAGTTTTCGAAATAATAGTTTTAATAGTTTTCGAAATAATAGTTTTAATAGTTTTCAAAACTAAAATGGTAAAAAAAGGATAAAAAACAGCAAAAACTGCCACTGCTACTGAACAAGCTAAATAGTTATTTTGTTTTGTAGAGATTATGCGGTGCTAAAGAAAACTTCGTGAGACAAATTGTATTTGAGTTTTCCAAATGCAAGGAAGAATTAGAAACTTTAGTTTCACCAAGCAAACAGTATAGCAGTTAGAACACCAATTAAGGTAAAGGCTGTCTCACAATTTTCACTCAATTTAGAACCAGACAGAATCTTGGTACAGATTCAATTTTTTGCTGAATCATGACGGTTCTATTGAGACAAGCTGTTTGAATTTTTGCCTTTCAAAAAAATTGATTTAAATGTAAATTAAAAAAGACAATCTTTTAATGTGCTTATGATAAACAAGAGAGTAAAGGATATTGACCTAAATTTTCTAAACTTGGCTGGGAATCGAGATAAGAATAATATTGCTGTGGGCTGTTGGGGCACTGAAATGAACGTCTTGGCAATCCTTAGAAATAATTTGAAAGAGACTTACTTGGTCATAATTAAATTAAGCAATTTCAAGGAGGCAGGAAGTTTAACTAAAGTCCCTTTGGAAATTTTTCTCGCTCTAACTGCGACTAAGTTTCACAATAACAATGGGAAAAGTTTCTACCAATCAGGAATGGGTCCCAGAACCTGGGAACCGCACATGACCTCGGACATGGTTTTTTTCGCTGATTCTCAGACTCTACTGGGAGAGAAGCACTGAATTTTCCCATCAACTAAATTTCTAATCATTAGATTTATCTCAAGTAAAATCAGTCAAGTCTGTCGCAGGCAATCGCAACTGCAGCTTTGAACTTATCATTTTAATTAAAACAAATTCCGTTCAACCTTTGTCTTAGCTTAGCTCCCTCCCTCCCAACACCCTTTTTCAAAACAAAACTGCTCAGGATCAGAGTAATGGTTACTTTTCTTGAAAATCTGGTCGTACTCCAATGCATGAAATAAACTTTTGTTGAACTTCTTAACCAGGGCACCATCCATTGGAGAAATTTACCCAAGACTTAAAATGATCAATGGCTCATACCTAATTTTATTGTGCAGTGATAACCAATTTGTGCAGTGATAAACTGAAAACGTGCAGTGATAAATCATGAAATTTGCAGTGATAAAAACGGTGCTTTGTCCTTTTCGTCGTACTTGGACAAGGGTCATTACTTTTTCTGTACATATTGCAAAGTTTAACTGCTTGACCAACTCTAATGCATTTCAGAATTTTTAGAATTTTAGGACTTTCAGAATTCTGAATCAGACAGAATTTCAAAATGTCAAAAATATCATCAAGATTGTTTTAGAAGAGTCTTGATTGAGTTCCAAAACCGATTCAAGTGTTTATATTTCCCAGAATAAAACAGGAAGGAGGCGTAAAGACAAGATAGAATATTTATAGTTAACTTAACGTTCGTATAAACATCTTAATAAGAACCTTTTGAAAAGTAAAATTGACTTCAAACTACTGAACAATGTTGTCCGATAAGGCAAGGTTTGATTGATAGATTTTTTAATTCATCAACGACTGGAAAAAAGACGTCGAAGGAACACAAAATGACAGAAAAAGAAGTTAGTGAGGACGAGGAAACAAGCTCTAGCCTCAACACTTGTGATGATTCTGTCAGCCCTTGCTCTTCTGTTCAGAGAAACGAAGCTGATGCCGAGCCAAAAGCATTGACCTATTCAAAGGTAGATACACAAATCAGTGACAAATGTATCCAGCGTGTGCCAGGACCAAAAGCTAAAGGAAAGAGTGTGCTGTGTACTGTATGCCTACTGTACCTCACCATACTGAAGCGTTTTTGCTACAGGGGTAGAGTGCCACCAATTTGTCTCTCCAAGGGCACAGAAGCAAGAACTCATACAATTCAACAGCATCTACAAAGTTAAGCACATAAAGAATGCCTCAAAGCTGAGCGCTTGAAGAAACTTTCATCTGTCGAGAAATCTCAAGCTGTGCCCTTGGTTAAGATGTTGAGTTCGCAGCGCCAGAAATTGGCCAACAAGGTAGAGTCACTAATAATCCATGTGTACAATGATGCAAAATGTTTGACGTCATCGGCATTTTCTTGGCCATCAAGAGTAGTTGCCGCATAACTTGCTTGTGAATTCAACTACAATCAACCTTTCCAACCATACACGCCTTCTGACTTTGATCTGCAGTATATTCGAACCCCAGTTGTACAGGAACTTTTGCGCACAATCGTCAGTTCTGACCTGCCAAAGTTCAATAAAGAAATTCATTCCTGCATTCTTGCATCTCTTCGCTTTCATGCATCCATGAATAAGATGCAGTACATGCTACTTGAAGTGTATATCACCTCAATTGCAAACTTTGCAATCCCTTACTATACTTGATGCGCTGTTTACGAAAATCGAATTGATAATTTGCTATTTCTTTTGCTTTTCCTGTTGTATGCGCGCAAAAGTGGCATTTTGCCCTGTCTGGCGAGCACCAAACCGCGCCAAAAAGGGGACTGGATCATAGTCTTTTTGTGACGTAGAAACCAGAGCCAAAGTAAAACGTACTGAGAATATTCAATGGTATATTTAGAGATGTGGATGGACATAATAAGCATACAAGCATCGTCAATGAAGTTTATGCGATTTATTCATTCATCAATTTGCTTTCTTTGCAATCAGCCTTCAATATTTTCCTCCATCCGCATTCCTATCAGCTAATTTTTACTTACGTCAGACCTGACCTACCCTGATCTGAGTCATATGAAGTCGAATCTGTTCTCACACAACCAGAAATCATCCGGAATGAATTTACTTTAGTTCCTAAAAACGGATTGAGTCGACAACATAGTCCTAGACGGGCCTAAATAAGCAAGTGAAAATGCCAGAACGCTGCATTGTGTTTGGTTGTAGCAATGGTAAAGATACCGAAAAAGGCATATCATTGCATAGGATACCTTATTTTGGCAATGAAAGACAAGAAGCGATAAGAAGGAGAAAAGTATGGGTTCAATTCGTTTCGAGGAAGCGTGCAAACTGGGAACCGTCAAAGTCCTCTGTAATTTGTTCGCAGCACTTCATACCGGAGGATTTTGAGAGAAGATTTTTAAGCCTTCCAGGGTTCGCAGACTCTCTCAAAGTAAGACTTAAAGAAGATGAATTTGGAATCTCTGTGTATCCCACAAAATATTTGCAATTGGTAGAACCCTCATTGGACGAAAAAGAATTTGGTCCTTCATCTAGCAAAACAATAAAGACAAGTTCAAGAGAACAAAGAATGGTAGGTTTCAATTCAAAGGTTTATTCCATATAATCTATTAAATTTTTGTTAAAATTTTTTCCTTAAACTGTACCACAAAGTCGTCATTTTCATTGTTCCGCCTTTTGCATTATTTTAGCTCCTAAGAACCGCTGATGACACACTGACGCAGCCTCTTATGCCTATCGAGCCTGACGGGCAAGTTACTTCGCATAAAAGAAAAGCCAGCGCTGAACATTCGGGTTTAGAATCAGCCCAGCCAAAAGTAAGCTTTTTAATCAATTGTATATATACATTCGCTATTGACTATCGATCTGTAAAAAGTCTCAAGATAAACCTTTTCAAAGGTGATCCCCTCCTATGAGCATAGCGATGGAGAATTCCAAACAACTATCACTGGAAACATTTAAATTCAGTCTCAAATTAAGGAATCTTTGTTTGTGAGCTATCAAAAAAAGAAAATGCTTTCTGCCCCCTATAACTGCAAGGTGAAATAAAAGTAGCACAAACTTTGGAAAATGACCAATGAGGCTGATGATAGATATCATCCCAGGAGTAAATTATGTACTATTAAAAAATATTGAGCTTTTCTTTCACTTTCTTATCAACTAACTTGTATTTTATTGTATTATGATATAATTCATCTATAATTTCATATTTAACCTACGCCCCCTGTAAATCAGTGTTACTTAGACTGAAGGACTAATATTCCAAAAATCTGTATTTTTCAAGTCGAAAGATGCTTCCTGTGAGACTCAGATCCCTTGCCATTCATGCCAACAACTGCAGTTAGAATAAAAGTCTGCAAGACAAGTTGAAAGTAAAGCAAAGTAAGCTGAGAAAGGCACAGTGGAAGATTCGTCGACTGCAGCAAAAAATAAAGATGATGACGATATTATTGATTCCTACCTATCAGAAGATGATAATGAGACAGGTGGGGTTGATGCTATACAAGCTGAGGCTGAGGATACAGATGAAAATCAAAATTATGATTCTGACAATGACTCTGAGTTCTTGGCAGATGATATCGCTAATGATTGTGATTCTGATGAGGATATGGAGACAAGGTAGATATCTCTTAACCTGTACTTCTCCTTAAAATTGTAATTATGTATTGATTCAGAGCATTCATCTTTTACAAATGTCTTTTTCATATTTGGAAACCCTGATGTAGTGTGTCTCTGTTCAATCAATGTTAAAAAATATTTTTTCAGGCTTTCTTACCAACAACTAAATGTTATGGTGTAACAAAATTGTATATCATGTATGCAAGCTATATCAACAGATAAACTTTTTATATATTTCTCATGTTGATGTAGATAGGAGTGTGTTTTAATTGATCATTTGTGTATCATATCATTAATCCCTCTACAGCGTCGGTGACACAAAGCCTAGGTTGAACAAGGAGCCAAAGTTTATTGTTTTCCTGTCACAATTGCTGTTGCTGTTTCAGTTTTGTCCTGTTTACAAGGTTGGAAGCCCATTAATTGATGTTAAACAAAGAGGGACAATGGCTATCATTGAAACACTCTGCGCGAATCCTGTTTGCTGCAAAAAGGAAAATGTATGGAGAAGTCAACCATTCATTCCAAAAACAGCAATTCCAGCGGGAAATTTGCTCCTGTCATTTGGAATTTTGACTGCTGGTGCAACGGCTTCAAAAGTTTTGAGAATTTTTCAGAACATCGGACTGGCTTGTATCAGTTTGAAAGCTTTCATGAAACACCAGCAGGTAAATGATATATTTTAATGTATCTAAAGTGTTTAATTTGATGGGTACACAAAGTTATTGATTGCTAAACAATAAATGGTTCAGACAAGCATGTAGGAATGGGTAATACATGTTCAAACCAAACTGTATTTAAAATAGTCTGAATATTGAAATTTTGCTTGTAGGAAAAGTTATTCCCATCAATTTTATTGTTCTGGGAAAAATATCAGAGCCAAATGATCACCGAGATACAGAACACAGGTGAACAACTCATTATTGGTGGAGATGGAAGAAATGACAGCATGGGCCATAGTGCCAAGTACGGTGCCTACACAACTATGTGCTTCAACAAGTCAAAGATTATCCACTTTGAACTGGTGCAGGTGAGAACTTTATTTGGTGCAGCTGTTTTTAGAGTAGACTGGTTTTACCATTTATATATGTATATTATAGATCTATATATTTGATAAAACATATCTGAATATCAATATATTGATATATACTGCATGCAATATTAAGTTGCTTTCATCTAACACAGCTTTACATAGGGTGTTCTAATGATCTCACTGACCATCTCCAATGAAGGCCATATCTAAAGGGAAATAGAAAGATGATGAAAATGGGAGGGCATAGTGAAAAGGGGGCATTGTTTTCTACTATAGACAGGTGCAGCACCTTTTTGATAAAAATATGCACTTTTCAAAAAAGAGTGGCATGTATCCCCTTAATGTCCCGTTTCTATGACACAGTCTCTCCTGGAAATTGTGCCCCAGGCTCTAATAAAAAAATTTCACTCTGGCTCTTTTTTTACGTAATTATTCATAATTTTGACCCTACAGAGGAATGAGATTGGAAACAGTACTGGACTTGAGTTCGAAGGGTTCTTAAGAAGCATGCATTTTTTAAGGCTGAACAAGTTCTCTGTGTCAACATTAGTTTCTGACCGTCACACCAGTATCACAAAGCACTTGAGAGAGAAGGAATCAAACACCAGACATTACTTTGACCTGTGGCATTTGAAGAAAAGTAAGTATTTTATATATTTAACAGTATATTTTTTCACAGAGAACAGTATATAGTAAGTGATGAAGTGATTAAGTGGCGAGTTTTATAATACTGTGTATTTTTATGAGTAAGTATCAGTGAGTGCATTTTTTCAGCATTTTCTCTGATCGTTGGCTGAGGAGAGTCTAATCAGAAGTTTTAAATAAACTAGCTTACCTTTATTGTCATTACAAATGATTCACATTACATTTCAGATATTCGTAAAACTTTGAAAAAAATTGCAGCAATGGCAAACTGTAGTGACCTTGGAGACTGGATACAGCCATGTATTAACCACCTCCACTGGAGTGCACTTTGAACACATGATGGCAATGGCCAACTGATATGGGCAAAGTTTAAGTCGTTTTTGTCTCATGTCATCAATAAACATTGTGATCTTGATGAACCTCTTTTCAACAAGTGTCACCATGGAGCTGATATTGGAGATAGGAAATGGATGCATAAGGGTAATGCTTCTATGATACAGCAGCCGCAACTCATCAAGTTCAAGCCCTCACTTTATCTCATAAGTGCTTCTTTTACCTGAAGATTTTCCTTCTTTGCATGCTCACATGGTACCAATTAATGCAATTTGACTATCCTTTCTCCACTGTTACCTTGTTCCCTGTCAGGGTGTTAGTTAGAAATTCTAAAGAGGCAAGTCAAACAGACCCATTTTATACACATTTTATATATTCAAACAGACCCGATAGCTCAGCGGTAGAGCACTTGACGTACAAAGTCAGGGGTCGTGAGTTCGAGCCTCGCTCGGGTCGGTTATTTTCCCGCTCTCTCTATTAATTATCTTCGAAATCCTGTTGTCTGTAAACTTTCTCTTCAACCCTATCCAGTGTTGGGGCTGCGATGGCCCTCCTGGTGTGGGCAGTCTTCTCTCATTCTTCAGGTCCTCTGCACTTTGTGATGGAGCTGCGATGGCTCCCCTGTGTATCAGGTAAAAGAGAGGGGCAGTGCGGGTGAATGACTTGGCCTTGGGTGTTGGCTTGAAAGCAGGACCCGATAGCTCAGCGGTAGAGCACTTGACGTACAAAGTCAGGGGTCGTGAGTTCGAGCCTCGCTCGGGTCGGTTATTTTCCCGCTCTCTCTATTAAAGACCCATTTTACAGGTTTTGATAGGAATCAAACAACTGTGATTTCAATTTTTTTAAATTTCATTACAACATATGATGATTGAAAACAATATATTTTGTCAGTTTCTATATTACATACCATTGCTGTAATCTTCAATTAACTAATGGAAAGTAGTAAGTATAGAATTTGTATATGTTTATAGATTCAGTTGGCTACCAAAAAATGTAGTCAGCATTAACTGAATCTAGGCTGAGAAAGGCAATAATGAAGGCATCGCCACTGAAACAGACAAGCAATATTGAAGGTTTCATTCTGTGCTTAATCACTTTGCACCTAAGATGATTCATTTTTCCTATACTGGCATGAAATTCAGGTAATGAGAACCTTTATAACATGTGTTCCAACATATTGATATTACATACAGGCAAGTTGTACAAGTATTTCACCATGTGCATTGTCAACTGACCCTTTATTCAATAAATATTTAAATTTTTTACAATTTAAATCATGCCTGGGTTCAAGAGAATAAACATCATTTCCATATTGATTAAACTTAAATTCCAGGACATTACAAAATATACTATGACTTGTGTTGTATTTTTGTGGTGTTGAATTTTTGTTTTTTAGACACATCCTTGCCACAGTGCACTTTAATGCAAATTTGCAAAGAGATGTAAAAAAACTTGAGGATGGGTCCACATGTGTCAAAGTTAGCTATCCCAAATTCAAAAATGGAGAAGCAACTGTATGTGATGTTCGTATTCCAGCAAACTTTGGTATGTGGATTTCTCCATGCTTCTAGAACCTTTTTCAGATAAAATGGGGTTTATGGGTTTAAAAAAGTCTTCCATATAACTTTCCACAACAAGGATGGTTATGTCATGTGAAAGAAATTTCATTTTTTGCCCTTTGTTGCAGACTATATCGATGAGATCTTCACAACAATGCAACATGGGATTGAAAGTGAACAACTCCCTGAGATGCATAAAAACTATAAAGAAGCAGAACCTCCATCAATGACTAGTGCCCTACCCAGAGAAGATCGCCAAATGGCTATTGATAAGTTCTTGAAGCGCTCACAGATGTCTGTTGATGTTGTGTCAGCTACATGTTCAAACCCCGAGCAACAAGTAACAAATCGCAGTCAAAGAAAAACACCACACTGCTCAGTTTGTAAGCAGCCTATGAAAGGTCACCAATATGTAGCATGCCCCAAAAATGCCAAAGATTAGATGTTGAAATATTCAAAAGTGTTTTACTCACAGTTGGAAACTACTCAACAGTATCCCACAAAGATGAAATGGGAAAGCCTCCAAAATGTAGCTCAAAAAATTAGAAAAACGGTCCCACATACCATTCAAATTATTGAAGTTTGCAATAGATGTGTATTAGCGGCATAGAGGTTTCCCAGTATCTTGTTCAAGCATTAAATTCAAAACCTCAAAAAACTGTTAAACCTTTCTGTCAATCATCATTGTCATCAAAACCACAAAATTCTTCATCAGTTTTAAACTTGGTTCGGATTGTATGGTATGCACAAGCTGGTAATGGAATTCTTTTGTTGCCAAGTAATCCATATACCAGCCTGGTAAACTGCCTATAAACAATGGCCCGCAAGAATCTAAAAAAAAGAATTCAAACAATTAAAATGATAAGTCTTGAAAGCTAAATATTGAGACACTCTATGCCCCCCATGCACCAAACTGGTTAGGCAGACAGGAAACTCCTCCTTAGATATCAGTATTTTGCTTTTAATAGACAAGATTTACGATAGCAATGAATTAATTTGAGCCTTAACTTTCATTTCTTATGATATTTTATGTTGAGCTACATAAGTTAATTATTTCACATATTTACATCTTACATTTTTTGCATTTCTATTAGGATAAAATTTTATAAAATAAAATTGTTGTAGTTTCGCTTTGTTTTGCTTGCTTTGCAAACCCCCATGAATTTTTCTGAAATATAGATCATGTAGGATTCTAATATCAATATTATCAAAAAATTCACTTATGCCTCTTCTGTCTTTATTTTTGAATATGTTAGCTTGTCTTTCCGTTTAAACCTTTGGCCTGTCAATCTGAGAACCCATGGTTGCAGGCAACATGGTTCAAAGCCTGGATGGGATGTAATGCAGCCTACTTCTCCTGGTCTCTCATTCAAAACTAAAGGGTCATTCAATGCAGTGATGCATCCTTCCAACTCTTCGCAACAGTAGCATTCCATTGCATTCATCAGCATTGCTACATTGCAACTTCCACATGTGCACCTTCAGAGCATTTATTAAATTGGGCTATGTTAGTATCAATGTAGAGTGCAATATGTGATATATATATAATAATTTCAAGATTGGCCTATCTAGGCAGTCAACACATACACTTACGTTTGAAAAGTATTACGCCACCCGAAATTCAAAAAGCTATAGCAAGGTAAATAAATGTTTTTTAGATTACTGTTTGGGTAGAATATAATGGAAAATGGAAAATTGTACAATTTATTAAGGCAAACTCGGACATACTAACTTTTTGCTTAAGTGCCCAAAACTGTTAATTTCCTTGACTGATAATAAAGATGTGGTTGCACGTTTTTTGTACTGCAACAGGCACTTTTTGCTAAATTCAAGGCCATGATCTTCTGGGATGACAAACACCTTAATGAGGTCTTGCCAAAGTTTATTTAAATTTATCATGTGGTGTTTGAAAGTAACCTGCTGCAAAAGATTTTGATTGAATTTGACAAGTTTCACAAGGGTTTCAACGCTGTGAGACCATCCAATGAAAAATTTAATTTTTTTGATATTTATGACGACATTTTTCTAAAAAAATAAAAATAAAAGTATTGCCAATGGTTTGAAGTTATATTTAATTGGTCTTGAACTTTAACCTTACGTCTAATGGCTTCACAAAAGTGGTTTGAATTTCGAAGGTCATGTTGTTTACAACTCCGTCCCCATTGCTCGTTCATTGAAGTGGTGCTAGTGGTGCAATACTTTTCGAACCTAAGTGTATCTATCCTTAATTAGTTTGGTTATGGCCTCTTAGGCCTATCCTCTTTAAAATAGACCATGATATAAATCCAACTTACCATGAATCGACTGCTACTTCACCCCGCAGACGTCGAGTGAAATTATCTAAACGTTCATCTTCTTGCCTCCTGGTTTCTTCATATTTCTGCATCCACGCCGCATCAGCCATTGCTTCATCAGCGTAAGCTTCTAAGCACCCAGCTTCGACGTTTTCAGTCCCCGCATGCTCATAATCTAAACTTTCATCCAGTAATTCGTGATCCGTAAAGGAACTAGGATTTGACGAGATGTTGGATGCTTCGGAATCAGAGTCGGCCATAATTTACTGCGCAAGGTTTCGGAAGACGTTCTGGTTTCTACGTCATGAAAGACTAGAGCCTAGACCTCTATAACATGCGCGGATTGGAGGCAAAATGTAGAGACTTTGGGGGCCTTTTCGAGGGCTTGCGTTGCTCAAAACGCTTTTTAAATTTGATATTTGAACTCAGCGCAGTTGTTTCAGTTGGTTTAATCTCTATCCCAAATTAGGTGATATGCACTTTAATGTAGTCAATGAAAATGGGAAACCAAATCTCAAGTTTATTGGCATTGGACACGTGACTGATCCAGGTGCCTCTGGGCATCTTGCAGCATTGAAATTGAGGTCAGATGATACTGTTGGCTTCCACGAAGTAATGAAAGTGATAACTCATCTTTCAACTGACTGGGAAAATAAATGACGACCGAAGGAAATTAGACATCAACACTCTCCTCCTAAAGTCTGTTTGTGCAGTGCATTCAACTGCAAATGCATACAAAGACTTATTTAAGAATGTCCCAAAAATTGATCACTTGGTTGAGAAATTGGCAGCAATTTCTACCTATTTTCATGTTTCAGCAAATCGAACCAGTGAACTGGAAAAAGTTGCAAAAGTGGAAGGGCTAACAGTGCTTTGTTTCCCAAAGTATTTTGAGTTCAGATGGGCAGAATTTACAGCTGCTCTTCTTGATGCTATTCTGTGCTCGTGGCAAGCACTTGTAAAGTTCAATGTAGAGCAATGCGATGCTGAAGGCAAAAAGTTTCCGAAGTTTCTTACCAAAAAGGACAACCTTCTTTTGATGTGTTTTGTTGCAGACCTGCTTTCCTTAATCAAAGTGTTCGAAAAGAAGCTTCAGAGCGACTCACTAACAATTGTGGACATTGAGCCAGAGGCAGAGAAGTTTTACGAAAGGGTGAACAAGCTGAGCACTGGATCCTTGCTAGGAGGTTAAGAAAATCAATTCAAAGAAAGGTATGATGAAGAAGCCAATAAGTTTTGGGGGATCAAGCTTTGGGAGAAGGAAAGACATCGACCAGATGCCAATCTGTTTGTAACAGATCGCAGAAAGTTTAGTGCTATTCGGACTGAATCAGTGATAGCAATCAACACATTCGTAGACAAGCGACTTCAAGTGGACAGAAATGCTTCCAAATCATTTACCCTGTTTGTTAAAATCATGGCCACAGAAGATGAAATAAAAGAAGGTCATCGCTCTATTGCTACTGACTTGGATTTGGCAAATGTACCCATTCAGTATTAGGATCTGCAAGATTGTGCCGAAATGCAAAAGGCCGATTCCTTCAGCATGCTGCAAAAACATGCTACAAGGAGCAAGGGACTAGTATTGAGATATCTGTGTCGTCCTTGGCCCGTTTCTGCATGCAAACCCCATTCAGCTGATTGTGAGTGGGTCATTCCTCTTTATAATAAGATCAAATCAAAATGCAGATCATCTTTCAAGCGCCAAACCGTCAGCAATTACCTTTACATACATATAAATATGCCACAACTATGTGACTTTGATCCTAGGCCTGCAGCAGTGAGGTGGATGGAGGAAAAAGATCGTCGGGCAATAGAAAGCACAAAAGCAGGAAAGCAAGAGTGGTTTAGCAAAGTTTTCGCGAGCAATGATAAAGAAGGTTAAGGAAAGGTGAAGGTGAGAGGTTAAGGAGAAAGAGTTCAAGAGAAAGTTTTGAAGATGTTAAATTTGTTTAAAGGACAAATGACACACTTTTCACTCTATCTTTTCTTTTCATTAACTTATAGATCGGCATACGGTAAAAACCAGACCCTAAGACCCAGGACCTTTAAGTACTAATATCAAAAAGGACCCTTAACACCAGAAGGGTCTTCACCTCGATAAGACAATGGTTGATCGCAGTTGACTGTCATCATCGCACCATGAGGACATATCAACCGTCAAATGCGCTTTTGTGTCAGCTACGGCGTTCTTCCGCATATTATCCACATCAGCTGCTGCCTTCAAATAAGTCAGAAAGTGACAAGGAATTTGAAGATCTTTCAATGTCGTTTAACCTCTTTTATGGAGTCAACCATAAAGAAGAGACAGATCAAGATCAAGGCCTGCGTCAGAGATAAAGATGCAGGCACTTTCTTTGGTTGTTGCTTGTTGCTTTTGCGTGATTTTCTTGGATTCTGCCCTCCCTATTCTGAAAAATGGTATTATTGCCAAATCATGGGGTGTGTAAAAAGAAGTTTGAAATTATTCTGGAACTGATATCTACTAACAGAGGTCAGCTTCAAAAATCCCCCACATAAAAATAAATTCAATAACTTATTTGATAATTATTTTCTATAATCCAATGGCAGAGGTTTTCAGGATACATTTTTTGATATAAAGAATTGTGCAAAGTTTGCAGGAAAATATCAACAGTTCTGTGGCAACCAGTCTCAAAGGGAACAAAAGAAAAGAAAACTAGAAAAAGCCCAAAAGGCTGCCGTAAACTTCCTTGTCGCTGCCTGACTCCATGACAGACTCATTTGAAGACAGCAGCTGATGTGAATAATATGCGGAAGAACGCCGTAGTAGGAGCAAAAACGAATTTGACATTTGATGTGTTCTCATGGTGCGATGATGACAGTCAACTTTGATCGACTATTGTCTTATTGGGGCGAAGACCCTTCCGGTGTTAAGGGTCCTTTTTTATTTTAGTACTTTAAGGTCCTAGGTCTCAGGGTCTTAGGGTCCGGTTTTTACGGTATGCCTTGTAGATCATCATTTAGAAGTAAGGTTTTCCTGGTTCAGAACAAAAAATTCTAATCAGGGGGCGCAGGGGACACGATTTTGCTTTTTATCACGTGACCCTATGACGTACATTGTGATAACTCGGAATTTTCCTATCATTAATAGAGAGTCTACGAAACACAACGCGACTGGTCCAGACGAACTGAATTCGTTTAGAAGCGTGTTGTAAACGTTAATATTGCACTGTATACCAGTAGCAGCAATAACAGATTATCACAATCTACGTCACGGTGTCTTGTGATTCATTTCCTGCCATAATTTGAAAAGGGTTTTTAATTAGGAAAATAAAATCAGAAGGGAAAAATATTTCAACAAAAATTCCTGCAATTGCCCTCTGTGATATAGCTCTCCTTGCAATTTGGTCTTCTAGAAACAAACTCGTTTTTGATAATGAATCTATCAACCCCTCTAAAATTTTTACTGCTAAATTCCGCTCTAAATTAAAAGAGGAGTTTTTCTTGCTAAATCCTCGTTCACTGGTCTTTTTAATTTAAAAACCAATGTTTTCGCTTCGGTTGTTGGTGATAAACTTTTTATGCATTGTTAACCCCTTGATAGTATAGCTTGATCGCTCTCTTCAATATCTGAGCAATATCGCACTCAGTGTTTCCTTGACACTGGAGATTAAGATGTTATGACACTTGACATTTGAACATGATAATACTCCCCACTGTTTATACAAAGATCGGATACCTCCCTTTGTCATTAATTTAGATGTCTGGCTCTCGCAACAACATATTAAAACGTCTCTCGCCATCCTAGAATTGGCGAGTTCGTTGCCTAGAATTGGCAAGTTCGTTGCCTCATTTCAAATATACTAGAATACAGAAAAAGCCATTTAGAATAACTATACCCCAAAGTCATACATCATTGTATTGATGAACCCCGCATGTATATACACCCAGTCTTCGTGTAAGCTGTAAATTTTTGAACTGGTTTAGATTTTGCTTATATCAATAATATTCATTTATAAATAATACTTCTCTCGCATATGTATATTATATATTGTAACAATAATATCATTTATAATTGTATATCACTTAAATTTATAACTCACATGTTATACTACTGTTTTCTATTTGTACGTTCATTGTATTACAATTACACTTATTAACTGCTTAATCTCTTTCATCTCAAGCCATTGTGAAAATTATCATTGTGAATTAAACTATATTAACTTTGTATCTAATAAATTGTAAATATCTGTTTTGTTCAATTACATGAGCGCTGGCATGTGCCCGGCTCAAACTGAAAAAAATGGCAGAGAAGGCTGCCCAGGGGGTGCTATGCCCCTTGGTAGCAAAGATCAAGATCAAGTTTTTGAGAAAGTGGCACTTAGTCAAGTTCAGAGTCCGATATTTCGCCAAAAGAAGAAGTAGAGTTACTACGCCAGCATCAGTCATACATGCGACAGTAGACAAATCACTGCCCGTATATCAGAACCATCCATCCCTCCTGTGAGCCTACTGGGAGAACTGCGCCAGAACGAAGTGATGCTTCCCAAGCAGCCACAACCACTGTCCTTGACATTTACATTGGCAGATCTGGAGGATTGAGAGACAACCCCCCAAATGGAAGACATCGCCCAAGATCGGTATGTATACACACCACACACCCCAAATGCTAGTATTGTGCCGTCTGCTCTTATAAAGAAGCTCGCTGATAGTGGAATCAAACAAAGTCATCTCAAACATCTACCCAATGAAGACCTTGAGATTACGTTTTCCCTGGCAGACAAGGCCCGATTTTTCGATCTCCCCTATGTCCATTTGCCAAGGAGAAGCTGGGAACAAGGTAAGGACAACCCGCCACAAATCTTGGTGAGAGTGAGCCATAAACTAGCAGAACTGCAACTTGACGCTCTTCTGAGGAGATTTCGGACGGGTTCTTTTTGCAAGGGAAAATGCAGATCCCAGTACAGATGTCATGAATTGCATGGTCACCATGAAAATGATCCTCTCACAGCCTGTGCCAAGTTTTGTGCACCTAGGCATTTACTGTTTGGCGGTGCGCCACTATGGCCAGCCCCAGACTTGTTGCAAATGTGACAGTAGGGTCACATTAATGCTGACTGCACTAAAGTAGGTCGTGGCCAGGGATAAGGCTCCACTGGACACTACATTGTTCAGTGTGACACCTCTTGGATTCACGAGACAAGAATGGACCAAGATGAACCTTCATCAGACATCTCCTCTGATGATGATGATGACGAAGACCAAGAGCAGATGCTCAACAACGATGCTGCCTTGGCTCCAGTGGCAATTTCTGACACCCAGGACTCCCAAGCTGCCCACAGAAACATCAGAGACCGATCCAAATGATGGAGAAAATGCCGCTGCAGAAGAACCACTCAGTGCTGAACCGTCACCAGCCTGGTCTGACGAATCTGAACCTACAGCCGAAGATGCTGGTGCTGACCTGGCCCCAGAAGAGACAGCTGTTACCCATATTCTTTCTGCAAGAAATTTACTTCTCTGAGCCTCCTGACGCTACCTTTCTTAAAACCATCTGGAAAGGATCAATTTTCTCATCCTTTAGAGGAAAGCATAGCAGAGGTGTTACCACTCTCACTAAAGAGTCCTTATCTACCAAAAACCCCAAAGTCACTCACAACAACTGTGGTTGATGGGTCAACGTTATCTTCGACACAGAAGATTCAAAGCTTCAGCTTTTGCATGTCTACACCCCATGCCCTGTAGGGGAAAGAGCTGCCTTTTTTCAAACGCTGCCCCCTCACATCAGGGGGAGGGGAGTTCCAACAATCATCGGAGGTGACCTTAATTGTATCTCAAACCTTTTTCCCGATAAACTAGCCGGTGACAGCCAAGCAGGTCCCACTGCCATAGAAGCTCTAACTGACCTCCTTAGGGACTTTAACCTTATTGATATCTTTCATTCAATGCAACCATCTGCCCGCAAGTTTACCTGGACTAATTCAAAAGTTTCATCCAGACTAGATAAGTGTTATGTTTCTTCTGAGATTTTAAATAATACCAAACACTGTGAGATAACAGTATTTCCCTTTTCCGATCATGATGCCCTTTTGCTGTCCTTCAAATTACCAGACTCGTCAGCTCGAGGCAGATGGACCTGGAAATTCAACACAAGCCTCCTCAAAAATGAATAATTTACATGTCATATGAAGCATTTTTAGAAATTTTGGGTTTCTCGCAAAAAGGACTTAACAAGCAAAATACATAAGAAAAAGAAAATAAGAAACTGATGCAAAAAGTTTTCAAAACGCATAGCTAAAGAAAAGGGAGAAAAACGCACCACTTTAGAAGAAAGCTGCAACAGGCAACAATTTCTCCTGATCAAAAGGAAAAAGAAACAGTTCCCCTGATCAGACAAGAAATTCAAGAACTTGATCTTAATAATATTAATGATGCACGTATCAGAGCAAAAGCCCTTGAATACCAATCCAATGAGAAATCGTCACGCTATTCTTTCAGCCTTGAGAACTCCATCAATCTAGAAAAGTCATTCGTCAGTTAAAAAAACCAGATGGTAGATAGTAGATGGTAAGAAATTGGCGAAGCCTTAGTGGAAGTACTAGACTTTTGTTTTAATAGAAGCCTTCTCACTGAATCTATGCGTTTAGCTATAATCTCCCTCTTGTACAAAAAGGAAGACATTGAACTCCTCAAAAATTGGGGACCAATTTCCCTACTTAATGTCGATTACAAAATTGGTTCGAAAACCTTTGCAAATAGACTGCAATTGATACTTCCATCCATTTTAAATAGTGACCAAACCTGCTCTGTACCAGGCAGGACTATATTTGAAAATCTCATGCTAGCAAAAGATTCTATTGATTACTGTCAGGAGAAAAAGCTCCCCCTTGCATTGATTAAAATTGACGAAGAAGAAGCTTTTGACCGTGTCAACTGGGAGTTTCTTCTAAAAGTCTTGGAGAGAATGAATTTCGGCCCAAAACTCAAGTGTTTGGTCAACTGGCATTTTACACTACATGTCTTCTATCCTTACGTTCATTTTATCATTTTCACACTTATTAACTACTTCGCCTTTTAACTTTAAAATAATTGTGAAAATTATCATTATGAAATTAATTATACTAACTTTGTAAATACCTAATTGTAAATATTTGTTTTGTTTCAATTACACGGGTGCTTGCATGCGCCAGGCTCAAACGGAAAAAAAGTGATCAAGAAGGTATTTCTTCCAGGGTTAGGCATTTCCATTGCAATTCAGTTGGGCTGAGCCCTGCGAACAGGAATTTATCAACTCAATTAACAAATTTATTGAAGACTGGGTACAATCACAAGAGTCTTTCCCATCATTAATCAAATGGTGGGAACACAGCAAAAACTATTTCCTTGATATTACCAAAATTTATTCAAGAAACCATAAAAAACAATTTCTCCGTAGGAAATCCAAACTGCTAAAACAACTCAGGAATGCAAAAAAAGGCAGAGAGTTAAGGGGACCCCCGCTTCTAAAACTTTATCGTGGCATGAGAAATAGCCATACATCCGTGTATTGACGAACCCCGCTTGTATAAACACCCAATCTTTGCGTATGCTGTAAATATTTAGATTGGTTTATATCTTCATCATATCAAGTAATGTTCTGATATGAAGAGCACTTTTTTCACATGTATATATATTACGTTTTGCAACAATAATGTCATTTAGAATTGAATACTTTTTTCACATGTATATATATATATTAATTTCGGTAAAAATATTGTCATTTGGAATTGCGCCTTCTTGATCACTCTCAATATACAATATACAATATACAATAGAGGTAGATTGTTATACAAAGACTTGTCATTGTTTGCTTTGCCTCTGTCTGCCTTAACCTGGCTCGTCGTATGCCTTGATAATGTTGCCTTGATATAATGATTCCAGACAGGGATCAGCTTCGGCATACCTAATTTGTAGCATTTGATTGAAAAGGCCAAACTAATACAAATTCAACATAGAAAAAAATCTTCCTCTCCAAACTGTTGTACCTGCTGCTAACAATATACATACTTTGCAACTTTCAGAGTAGCACAAGGATTAGTGTAAAATTGAAAGAAGATTCCACCAATTTGTGTTTGATCGATGCAACCTTCTGCATGATCGTGGTGCCCTTTCTTGCGTCTTTGACTCTACCAGCAGCAGAAAAATAGAGATGGCTTTCAAGAAAGCTCTTCTTTTTGCAATAGCAATTGAAATAAACTTCTGCAGAAGTTGTTGACGGCTACGGTTGGCAGCTAAAACATTCCTCAGTAAAATGGCCTTGTCTATACGCACAATTTTGTTCCCATAATTTTTATTTTCACTGCGCAAGCCAAAACAGTACTCAGTGTTTGATAATTAAATATGACTTTTTAAGTACGATGTTTGACACGAATGGATTTCAACCAAGGAAAAATTCTGAACTTAATACAATTGAATTCGACAAATGTGAAATACGACGTATAATCTGGGCCTTAGCTTCAACTTCATATTTTTATACACAATTTTTTAACAACAAGATAAAAAGGCCATGACTGAGCAGATACCAAGTTACGCACACCTGAGACTTGCCTGTTTGCTTGTGCGACACAAGGTTCAACCTATGATGTGTCGAAAATGTGACAGCAGGACCTATCTCACAGCAAATTGCTCTGTAAAAAGGTGTTGCCTTGAAAGCAGTCTGTATTAGGGTTGTGGGTCACCTGAGCACAATCTTGCTCAGTGCAATACCTCATCCTTCTGGGGCCTGAGTGGAACCAATGATGCAGAGTCAATTCCTGACACCCAAACATAAAACCACCTTGGCCTTTGACCTGTTCGACAATGTGCCACGAATTGGTTGAAGCACGACAACAAAAAACTCACAAGGTTCGATTTTCCATCTCCATCTATTATTCCAACCAAAACGTACAGCGATAACATAAAAACCACAGCGGAAGCTCTCGCCCACACTCTTCTCTCACAATCACTCATTCTACTCAGTCTCTAACAAACAATAAAAAGGTTAAAGGTTATTCAGAATAATATCAATTGTCTAGTTTACTTGTGTCCTTCGCATTTGATGTCCCTGGACAGCAAATGTCAATCATCGGCTAAGTCTCTACTCTCATCTTGAATAATCTCTCAGACTGTTTCTGCTGCGAGTTGTGCAGCCTTTCACTTAGGTCTATATTCCTCTGCTTGTGGATTGAGCTCACGTGTCCGTACTGCTCTTTTTTTTTCGCATGCTAAATCCAATGGATACAATAGCTGTACAGCTCTTTCTACAACTGTATTTCATGTTTTGACTCTTGCCGCTCTGACGACTCCATCTCGCCCTTTGATCAAACACTCTACGATCCCAATTCTCCACTTGCCTCTGTTCTTGTCGTCTGCATGAATCAGCACTACGTCTTTTTCCTGATGTGTTAAGTTATGCCTCTCTCTAAGTGCCCTGACATACTTGTTTGTCCATCTTTTCCAAAGGTTCTGCTTGCACTTTTCCAAATAGTTGGCTCGTTTACTCAAATCTTTGTTCTCTAAATCACGAGCTTCTTCATTTATCAGTGAATTATGGTGGCCTAACAGCATTATGTTGAGAGTTAATTCTGGTAGCTGAATATCGTCTTCCACATAACACAAGGGCCTGTTGTTTAGGGCTATCTCCACATCCAACATGATCTCTTTCAACTCTTGAAGGCTAAGATTTGCTCTTCCCAAAACTTTGAACATTGCTTGCTTAACGAGGCTTATCGTTCAAATTGCCCTCCCCACCAGGGGGCCTTACTCAAATTGAACTGCCACTTTATGTTGTTCTTTGCGAGGTAATTGTGAATCTTTTCACTTTCCATTATCTTTTGTATCTTCTTTGAGGCCGCTACGAATGTTTTGGAATTGTCCGAGTAAATCTTGTTTGGGCGACCTCTTTATGCGATGAACTCTTTGAGACAAACCATAACCTGTTCAATTGTCATATCTGTAACAACGTCAATGTACACTGCTCTTGTCAAACTACACGCAAAGAGTAGAATGTACGCTTTACCTTCCGTGTTTGCTCTAACTTTGTATGTTAGGGGACTGCAAAGTTCACCCCTATGACCTCAAATGGTCTCGATCCTTCTGTGCGATCTTTTGGTAACATTTCTGCTGATGGTTGACTGTTGGCTTTGGTGTGAAACCTCTTGCATCCGTGACAATTGCTCCGTATTCTCTTTACCATTCTCCTAAGCCTGGAGATCCAGTATGTTTGTCTCACATATGCCATCGTCAGACTCACTCCCCCTTACAATGTTGCCATGACATGGGCGTCATCTACAATCTTCTCACTGAACAGTGAATCTGATGGCAAATAAATTGGGTAACTTCCTTGAATCCTCCCCATGCACTCATAAATTGTTTGGTTTTTCTTTTGTAGGTTTAATCTCTGTTGCTCATTTTTGAATCTCTCTGTGCTCTCGCTACGTGCTCAAACTATCTTGATCCACCACTTGATCTGACTCTAAATCTCCTCTGTTCTCCTTCTTCTCTCTACAGTTGGTAGCAAATCTGTTCATTCATAACATCAGCCTCATGGTCTTCCAATATTTGTGTTTCTCTAGGATTTCGTCGAATTGATCCCTCATTTCTACTGAAGCTTTGAAAGTCTCTTTGATTGGCTTTGCCTCGACCTCTGACTTTTCTGTTGACTTCGTTTCTATGTTGAGTGGCCAATTTTCTGCATCTGATAACCACTCTTGACCTGTGAACCATCTCGTTGGAATTCTGTTTCTAGGACACCCCCTGCTCCCGATGTCTGCAGGGTTATCTACAGTTCCCACATGTCTCCACTCTATGAAATTCGTTTCTTGAATCTGTCTTACTCGATTGCTTACAGACTGCTTATAATTTCCCTGTCCCTTTATCCAATGTAAAGCTACCGAGCTATCCAGCCATAGCAAGATCTGACTGGTAGCCCAGTGAGGCTGCTCCTGATGTTTGCCAGCAGATTGGCTGCCATGTGGCCTGAGGCTAGCTCAAGTCTTGTTATCGTTAGTCTCATCTTTGCTAGCCTTGATTTAGCAGCAAGGAGCCTTTGACCAACTCCTGATGATTGTGTGATCACTGCATAAACACAAGCTGCTGTTCCAAACTCACTTGAATCACCAAAGGCGTGAGGATCAATTGCCCTTACTCTCTATCACGTCATTGTTGTGAAAGCCCGCAATGCATGGAGGGATTTGTAGTCACCTGCGCTTAGCTTGCTTTTATTTTGAATTGCGAAGTTGCACACATCCAGGTTAGACTTCTGGAGAGATCTGCCCAAACAATTGTGAAATGGTGTTGTTCTCTGCAAATGTTGTGTTTTCATTTATAAAGGTTGGATCCTTCTGCTTGAGAACTTGGCGACTTACTGATGTTTGCAAACTGGTGCAAGGTTCATAATTGTTTGATTTGATGGCCTCACAAAACAAGGTAGCTTTCCCAGCCTTTGAAAAATTCTCTACTAGTCTTTTCAGGTCATCTGCCACCTTTGTGTAGGCAGATAGAGGGGTGGCACGGAAGGATTCCCTTACTCCAGAAACTATGGGTCTCTTCCTTTTTTTGTTTACTTATGCTTTCTCAAACTCCAAGTCTTCAAATCTCACAGCCTTTGCCAAAGTCATGTTGGCTGAAGTTGGAATGTGCCACTTCTGTGAAACTTGAGTGCAAGTTAAATCATTTGGTATCACTTTGGTACCCAGGTTGACAAAGTCGAGAAGGGTGAAAGAAGGGCTGCTACATGTTTACAACAGCCTCCTTGACCGGCCTTGCAGCTACATTTCGCATACATGACATCTCTGGTTGTCTGATTAAGATGGGTGTACACAGCGTATAATAAGTTTTTCATAGAAGCGTGGACCCTTGCCTTCACTAAAAAGAGAACACACTGTCCCGGAACATTTGGCCTAACAAAGATGGAGCGAACAAACCCTTCTTTCCACAAACGATATCTAATACGTTTATTGGGAAATGCCTGTGGTGCTGAAGTCCTTTTTTACAGTGTTAAGTCACCAATCAGCTTTTCTTCGATCTTTTCACTGGTAACATGTGGCAAGAACTCGAGTGACTTTACCCAGGCATCGTTCCGATTTGATCTGTCCTTACCATGTTCCAAGTTAATCTGTCGCTCGTGACAATTCATTACTTCAGAAAAATCAATGCTCGTGCTAGAGTTTTGAAAAAAACTAGGACAAGCGTTTTCTGCTGGATTAGTTTTATTTTCTCCAATCTTTTCATTGTTTTCTCGATATTTTGACAAGTCTAACCTGGATGTGTGCAACTTCGCAATTCAAAATAAAAGCAAGCTAAGCGGGGGTGACTACAAATCCCTCCATGCATTGCGGGCTTTCACATCAATGACATAATAGAGAGTAAGGGCAATTGAATCTATTCTTTCTCTGAATTTTGATATGCTTCTGGGAATCTCTACTTTGTCTGGTAACGCCTTGTCCATTTGTTCCACTTGTCTGATAACTCTGTGGACAGCTCTTCATCCCATGGCAGTTTTGCATCACAAACATCTCGATAAATGAGCTTTCCCCCAGAGTCACTGGTGATACAATGCCAATAGGATCATAAACTGATGCCAAGTTCTTCAGCAAACTCCTCTTTGTTACATTCTCTCTCTGATTTTCTGGAAAAACTACTCCAAGAGTATCCGCATCTTTGTTCCAAAACAAACCCAACAGCTTGGTTTCATCTCTCGCCACTTCTAATTACTGCTTTGCAAAACTCTGCTCTGAGATCTCTGAATCTGTCTGTTGTATAAGATCTTGCTCTAGCTCTGGCAGGTTTGAGTGCCACTTGTGTAACTTAAAGCCAGCTACATCGAAAATCTTTACAACTTTATCCTTTAGCTCTTCCATGTTAATTTTTGTTTCTCCAGATAACAGTATGTCATCAACATAGATACTGTGTGTCGTCTCTCCTCTACTTCCGCAGGAAATTGTGCCTCTTGTGAACGCATGTGCTCTTCTATTGTAGCCCCTAATAAAAACGGTGATTGATTTAGGCCAAATAGGGCGCGTGTAAATCGGAATGTCTCTACGTTCTCTCTGTCTCTGTCTTTAATCCAATGGAAGCGCAACACATCACGATCCTCTTCCTTGATCCTGATTTGTAGAAAAGCTTGTTTTAAATCCCCTGCAAGTGAGATTGGTCTTACTCTATTACTTACTAGGGCATTCCATATAGAGTTTGCAATGGTGGCCCTGTCTCTAAAGATTCATTGAGTGATGGTGTATTGTTGTTTGGCTTTGCAGATGCATCATAAACCACTCTGACTTTAGTGCTTTCAGCTGCTTGTCTCATCACTGGCTTGTGTGGCAGGTAAAAGGACCCCCCCCTGGTTCATGTTCCGCTCTTTCAATGATTCCTTGTGCTTCTTGGTCCTTGATGATCTGATCGTACTGTGTAAATAGCTCTGGTTCCCTCTGAAGGTTCTGTGCAAACTTGTCTAACCTTGCAAGGCTTCTAGCTTTGTTATCTTGTAGTGGTGGGCAGTTTGCCTTCCATAAAATCTCTGTCTCATAGTAACCCTGTAGCTGTTGTTTCAACTGCTCTCTAAACTCACTGTAAACTGAATCTTCTTCCCTTTGTTGATGATTTTCTAGTCCTAGGACATCTAGGTTGCAAAGGCGCTCATAATCTGCTAATGTCCCTTTAACGAAGAACATTTTACCTGCATCAGCATCTGCTCCAGAAAATATTAGCTTCCAGCCTAATCTTGTATGCTCACCTACAAGCTCTCCGGGTTTCCCAATTTTTGTCTTTGCATCTGTTTTGAATTTTGCGTATTCTGATGCCCCCAAGATTACATGGACAGGAAGCTCTGGTTTTTGATCAATGTCATCCATCGTTACTCCTTGTAGATGAGGGTATTTCTTTAGAACATCTTGATACCTTGGATTCTTTACTGAAAGCAACACCTCTCTATCAACTTTGCTTACATCAATTTCTAGCTTGATGTCCCCCTTAAGATTTTGTACCTCCACATTGTAAATCTCAATTTGCCTGTTTACTGTGCTCAACATCATGTCTATCTGTCTGTTTTGCTTAAAAACTGGCCTTTTCCCAAGAATGTTCACCAGCTTATCTGAGATGCATGAGCTACCAGCCCCCGTGTCTAGTAAGGCCCTGCATTTTACACCATTTACACTGACAAAAATAATGGGATATATTACTCCTTGCTCCCCTGTTGCTAATAAAACTTGCTCTGGTTTTTATCACAAATTGATGTATGATGTCTCGCACTACAAACTTGACATCCGCTTCTCACCCTACATTCTGCACGGCAATTCAGCAAACACGGCTTTGTGATTGGTTCCTGTACAATTGAAACAAAGTTTCTTTTCTTCAAACACTCTCTTCTTTGCGTTATTTCTGTCACTTTTTTGCATTAAACTGATTTGTGGTCATCCCCCTCACAATAAATGCATGGCTCCTTTTCCATTCCTGCCTTACTTGAAATAGTTTTTCACGTTTCTGTGTACCCTGGTTAGTTTTGCGAAAATTTGTACTTGCCCCCCTTTCTTCTTGGGATATGGGATTTCGCTCAGTCCATCGTCTAAGTGCGTTTACTAACTAGGGGAATTCCCATTCCTGCCAGCTCTCATTGGTACGAACTAGATCTGCATGTATCCCCTCAAGCTTATCTATTGTTGCCCGGGTCAGACCATTTATTTCTCCTAATTTCCCTCATCGATTCTCGGGCCTGTACACTGATAACCAGCTTCACATAAAAATCATGAATTTTTGCAGGCCCCCCCCCCTTTAATGACTGACAGTGCTGTGACGTTCTGCACATACGCATTTATGATCTCACTTGATTTACCATATGCAGATTTTAGGATTTGTTTGCCCTTTCATAACCATCTGTTGTAAAAGGAAGACCTTCTATGTTAGCTCTGACTTTTGGCATAAGCAACTCTTTCAAGTAGGAAAATTTTGTGACAGAATCTATCTTAACTCTATCATCTTCAGCTTCAAATTGATTCCAAAATCTATACCAGTCTAGATGGGTACCCTGAGACTTTGAAATAATTAGCTTTCGCAACTTAACCTTTGTTGATTCCTTTTCATTTGGAGGTGAAGTTGATTTAAGTTCCTCCAATCTACGCTCATACTGAAATTTCTGCTCATACTTAGCTTTCTCCAGCACTGATTCTACCTCAAACTGCCGTTGTTTCGACGATAAAAGCTCCTGTTCTTCCTCCCTTCGCTGGCTTAATTTGATCTGCTTCAAAGATTCTCTCATTTCCGCCATGATGTGATCAAATTTCTTGATTTCTCCCTCGATTTTGGTGCTCCAGTTTCGAATTTCTCCTGGGTCTCATCATACTCCAATTTCAGCTCCTGTATGTTGTTTTTCAGCTCTAAACTTCTTCGACTTTGGATTCATAAATCTTTAGTTGTCTCTCAATAGCCTTGCAATCCTATGTGTTGAAAATACCTTGCTTTTCGTCTTTGATAAATGTCAACAGGCCAAGTTTCCCTGCGACTTTTTTTGATAAATACTCCTTGCTTGCTTGATTCGCCATACTCTCAATTTTTGGTTGGTTTAAACTCCACTAAAGGTCGTTGATTTCTCCCATCTGGGGTGCCATTTTGCTGCGAATTGGTTGAAGAACGACAACAAGGTTTGATTTTCCATCACCATCTATTTTTCCAACCAAAACGTACAGCGATAACATAAAAACCACAGCGGAAGATCAAGATCACAATTACTCTTCTCCTCACAATCACCCGTTCTACTTGATCCGCTCTTTGTGTCTAACAAACAATAAAGAGGTTAAAGGTTATTCAGAATAGTATCAATTGTCTAGTTCTCTCGCCTCCGCAACAAATGAAAGTGAGCGTCCAACCACAGATGTTGCTGCAACTTCGGCTTTGTCAAGACATGTGACTATGACTCCTGCATAGAAGCAAATTTGGAAAGGTTTCCCAAATACTTTCAATGGAAAAAGGCTGGTTACAGCCTTTGCTTTTGCAGGTATTGATATGTCTTGGTTTATAACTATTTGAAATAAAAAAATATCTCTTTCTAACAAGAACAGACCTGAGTTCTATAATATCTGCATATCTGACCTGGGCTTCCTGAAACTTTGTAAAAATATTGGTGGCAGAGTAAAATCCTTGAAACCTCTGTAGGCGAGGGGGTAAAAACTAAATTAAAAGCTAAATGGTTTGAAAAAGGCGAAAAAGTAACTCGTTTTTTCTGTTCTCTAAAATAGAAATGTCAAAGCAACAGTTCCATGAAGTCTTTTAAAGATAAATACAACAATTCAGTAACTGATTCTATTTAGATAACTAAAGTTGTCAAAGAATTTTATTAAACAATTTATACAAAGGGCTTGTTAATGAAGCACTATAAAATGTTCTTATAGAAAAGCAATTAAACGAAGATTGAACAGAGAAAGGCATTTCTGTGACAAACCTCTCACACTCGTAGAATTAAAAGGATGCCTTAAAACTTAGCCTGCGTGCAGACTTTACTATCTGTTGCAAAGGAGAGCCAATACGGAACTTGTAAAGTCTGCGAATTAGCGTCCGTTTTTGTGTTCTGAGAGCAACCGCATTAATACTCGCCTTTGTCATGGCATTGTATTTTAGCCAATCAGTATTTGGTTCGAGATTTTAAGGACCCAATCAAATTTAAGCACAATAATCACGTGCTGATTACAACAACTACACAATCATTCTGGCTGGACATAGGAAAACATCAACATGGAGGAAAAAACAACGCTGTGCCCAAGGATAAAGTTTTCCTGTCTACGAGACCTCAAAGCTTATGATGAAACGGCATTTCAAACGGGAATAGAGATGGTCAAGAGTATATTTAACGTGAAAAAAATCTACCATGATCAAGAGACGGTTCTTCGGAAGTTTTTCCGAGGACAGAACGTATACTTCAGTGCGCCTACTGGATATGGAAAATCGTTGATTTTTCAGTCTATTCCAATAGTAGCTGACTACTTGTTGAGTGTGGATCTTTTTACCTCCATTATTTTGGTTATCTCGCCACTGAAATCCTTAATGTTAGATCAGGTTAATTACCTTCAATCCATTGGTTTGAATGCCGTGGCAATAACAGGAGATGCTGATGAAGATTTGGTAAATGCCGTTAAAGAAATTGGTTGCTCACCAAATCTCATTTACGTTTCACCAGAGTCAATGCTTGCAGTGAAGAAGTGGAGAGATATTTTATTCTCGGAAAATTTTAAAGAACGTTGTGTTGGAGTAGTGGTCGATGAAGCTCACTGCATAAGTCATTGGTAAGTTATGGTGTAATGGCAGCATCTTACAGACTTCATGATTCTTCCGGGTGCTCCTGAATGTATATTGTTTATTGTGGATATATTCTAAGAATCGCCAGAAAGCAGACAAAGGGCGTTACCTAGAAATTCTGGTGACCTTTTTGGCAGAATATCATAAAAATCGAAATATAAGTATTTTTGGAGTTTGAGCCTGATAAATTTTTCTGCATTCAGAGGCCAAACAAATATTATCAGCCATTTGCTGCTGATGTTATTGAAATTTTATTCTTAAATACTGCTCCTCATTTTGTATGATTTTTCAAGCTCTTTCACAAAGGGCTATTTTTATTACCATACCTAAAAATTACAGTTAGGTGTTGAAAGTCAAAAATTCTCATACTGTGGTGTATTAAGCTTATAAGGCAACCCAGACACTTTTGCTAAATTCTTAAGAGTTGATGACAGATAGGCATTTTAATCTGGTCTAGGAATTCTGTATGCACATTTGTTATCAATAAGAATTGAATTCAGTACCTTCTTTACTTACAGGGGATATGCATCTGCAAGTAATTCACCATTTCGTAAGTGGTACCGCAATTTGTATGAATTTCGCTTACTTTTGGACTCAAGCGTCAAATTTGCAGTTTTTACAGCAACTGCAACAACTGTGACAAAGAACAGGATCTTTGAAACACTAGGTATGGGAGTCACAGATTGTTATTGTGTTGAGAAGAGCCCATTGAAAGAAAACATAAAGTTTACGTCAACTTATATCTCAAATGGGTTAACTTTGGAAGATATATTTGATGACACTTTAAATGATATATCTGCCAGAATGGAACATTCTGACCGGGTTATCATTTATTGTCAATCTCGAAAACAATGTGCTCTCCTTTGGCAAATGTTTTCTGTACAGCTTGGAATTAAGCTTTATTTGAATACGGTTAAGAACCCCCGAAAGCGTCTGGTTGAGATGTTCCATGCTGGAACTCGGCATGGGGGTAAACTGTGCTTCTTTCAATAAGGTGATTCATTTTGGACCTTCAAAGAATATTGAATCATATGTTCAGGAGTGTGGCAGAGCAGGACGAGATGGGGAAGAAAGTTTTTGTCATCTTCTTCACAACAATTTGTTGACAAGTAGGTGTGAAGATGACATGAAGGAGTATGTTTACTCTGAAAGTTGCCGTAGACTAACTATAGCAAGATGGTTTGGCTGTCTTAAAGTTGAAAAGGAAAGTCTGTGTTCATGCTGTGATAAATGTGCTCTGCAATGTGAATGTGATGCAAATTGTAAGGATGCTTGGCAATATAGACTGAGAATAAATGCAAAGGAAACATCTAGAAATAGAAAAGTACCAAGATCAAAGATCAATGAATTGCACGATCTTCTCAATGACTATTTGCAGAAAATGCAGAACATCCAAAGTAGGCAAGGTAAAACAATGTCCTATGTTGTACCTGATTTTGAATTTTCAGAGTTTCAAGTTAATCAAGTTTTGAAAAATTGCAATCAGATTTTTACATTGGAGGATGTGATGTCTAAAGTAGAAGTATGGAGGACTATACATGCACAGAACATATTGTACATGTTAGGGCAGGTGTTCCCAGATATTGATGTGGGTGAGATGCAACTGCAGTTTCCTGAAGAAAATCAAAATGCAGCTGACGAAATACCTTCTGAATGGATGGAAGTGCGTGACGACTCAATGATAGGTTTACCAACTGAAAGCAGTCTCTGGGCAGATATTGACAGTATATTGGACACAACTCTGGCCACTTTCGAGTGTGACAAAAATGTCTAGGATTATTCAGATTTTAACCAAAATTGATTTCTTTTTCAGGGTAACTACTCTAGCTGTCAAAGCACTTTTGAAACGTTTTTACTTTTGTGAAATTCTTATAAGAAAGCAAACTTATTGTCTTCCATGACTTGAAAGTCTTGTCACAACAGAATTCCTGAAACTAGGTATGCAAGTTTCAAGCTATAAACCAAACAAAACAATTTTTGAAAGAACAGAAATGTATCAAACATTATTTTGAAAGCTATATACAGCATTATATTTTGTTGCTAATGAAGCCAACTTTTAAAAACACACAAGCCTTCACTCTCAAAAAAATTTCTGTCCTCTTCTCCTTTGATAGAGGTTGAGTTTTAAATATGGAGAGTGAAGTGCACTTTAAATTTCAACTCTTATTCTTAACAAAATTGATTACATACATAAATGTGTTCATCTAAAAAAAGTTTCTTTCACTAGCGGGCATTCACTTCTTTGATTATATTTTGTTTGTGTTCATTTATCCATGAATAAAAATCATGAATGGAAAAATCCTCTAACAAACTTATGTTGCAAGAGGGAAAAGACTTGTATTTTCTTCCTGGTACAAATTCCATTGCATTTTGCTCAATCAGTTTAGCGACTACTTTCTTTAAGTCATCCTCTGATGACTTTTGATAATGTTTCCCAGACCTTTTGATGACACCACAGAAAGAATCAAATTTATCCAAGAGTGCTTTGTTGTATGTGAGGGCTTTGAGCATTCGATCAATTGCATTTTTATTTGTGACATTGGAGCCCAGCTTTCTAAGCACGGTTTTTACAAGAAGGTTGAAATGCTCCAGTGCCATATCCAAGGGTATGTTTCCACCATGCCCACGTTTAGACTTGTGGAACCTGTTCCACATCAGACTATATGCATCCTTTTGTGGCAGGAGGGAATTGAATTGAAATAGAAGGTATAACCCTTCAAGTGCATATTTTCTACTTGATGCACCATCTTTCCTGAGGTATGGCAGCATATATTTCCAGCATCGTAGAACCCTTGCCCCATCTCCCTCTGAGACTGCATCATGGAGGTTCATTTGTAACATACCATATTCAAGAAGCGAGCATTGGTAGCTTCTCATATCATCACTTGGTCTCTTGTTAACTTCATCCATAGATTGTTGGGTATGATGAAATCCATGCACTTTCTCATGCTCTTTTCTAATTTTGCCATCATGTTTGAATGTGGCATTGCAAGTTGACAGACGGCATTTAAAGCAACCATCTTGTGTTGTTGGGTTACATGTTTTTAGCCAGTCTTGATACCTTTGGTTTGTGATGATTGACTTTTGTACAAAGTCATTAACTACAAATTCATCAACTACTTTTGATGCTAATGAATCAAGGTATGACTTTTTTTCATATACACTTGATTCCCTGCTCAAGTCAGCAGGCAATATATCAAAAGTTGAATGTCTCTGAAAGATTTTATTTTTAAAACTTGCATTGCTGCTGCCAAAATTCTTGCTTCCACCTCTGGAAAAAAAAACTGTTTGCAAGCATTATATTTCTTTCTTACATCGGTTGATACATTCCTTCTGTTGATCAGTGCCCTATCTGCAAACATGGTGCATTTATCACTGCTCACTTTTGGGTTGTAGAAATGATCAAATCCAAGCTACAACAAATACAGAGGCTTCTTTAAGAAATTATTCTTATTTTGTCCTGGAGGAGGCACCAAAGAATGGAGAGTAATGCTGGGCATAATTTTTGGCATAATTTAGAGCACCCTTCCCCCCAGTAATGGTATTTAGCTTTGCACCCCTGGTGAAATGAAAATTAAAAGCACCTGCTTTAAACATGTAAGATAATTACTTTGCTGAAAGGGGAAAATGTACAGATGTAGAAAGGGTTATCAGTTCCAGGGGCTCTTGTTAAGAAAAACTTTCAGTTTTTCATGTAGGTCAATCATAGTGTGAAGCAGCTAATCATGTTTGTAAATATTTTTTGGTAATTTTTTTGGTAAAAGGAAAAGGTGACAAGTGTAACTAGAAATAATTATGAATTTGGAACCTTCTGCGTTCCAGGAAGTCACTTTCCAATAACCCATCCTACCTTTTCCGTTGAAAAACTACCAAAATAAATTATGTTATAAATTCCACAGAGTATATATACAAAGTATACTTGAAATATGTACCTGAAGAAATTTCATTTGTGCATGAAAGTCTGCAATCTCAAAGTGGATTCCATCAAGACGCTCTTCTGGCGTGAATCCATTTTTCACCTGTTTCAAACAATTAACTCCCCTTTCAACACTTAACTGATCAGCAGTGAACCCTTGCTCTGCATAAAACGCTTCTGAACAAGACCCGACATCTGCTTTGGGTACATACTTATGCAGCTCTGTCAAGACCTTGCATATACCATCAGCATCATTTTCATAAATTATCCCAAGGAAAGTCTAGAAAAAATAATTCCATGTTTCTTTGAATGTGTATGTGCCATAAATTTTGAAGATTGGTTAAAAATGAAAATATAACTTACAGTATGTGAATATAAGTACATTTTGGTATCTTTTTTTGATGGGGGTATTGAAAGTTGTATTGAATCAAGTTGAAAAAATCGTGAAACTTGTGATATCTTCAAATAGATTGAGAAAACTACTGATGAAGAATTTTAGTTCAATTCAATCTGTGCGATTTCAACTCCAAAGACAAATATTGATTATATTCTGCTTCAAGACCTGCTGCTTTGGAGCGACAATAAAAAACCTCTAATATTTATTGTACAATCCCTACAGAAGTTTTGGGCTACTCACTGTTTCTGTTGGTTTGCTGGCTTCCCTGCTGTGTTCGTGTGTGATATGCTTCTCGACAACTTCTTGCAGAAACTTCAGGCAATCTATATGTGATGTGATCAACCTTGACACCAGAACTATGTAATCATTATGTTGCTTCCTGTGATCAGATTTGTCAGGGAGACATACAGCATTATCCATGTCAGCCAAGGAGCATTTGGCAGGTTTTTCAGCAGAGTTGAACTTAACTCCAGATATACGATTTTCTGTTGAAATCACAGTGACCCAATGAAGGTCTTTATTCTGGTTCTCTTCAGTCATCTCATGTCTTTGCGCATAAAGATCAATATTATCAAATATGATCTTCCTTCCTAGATCCTCAGCCATTTCTAGATGACATGAATACATAAATATGTAAATTCTAAAACACTCTAGAATTACTTTGAGAAAAATCTTTCATCATTCACAAATTATTAAAAATATAGGAAGAGCTAACTAAACAATTGAATATATATGCACATGTTGACAGATAAAGGGCAAATATCTGACAACTCTAAAGTAATGATTCTTATTCTTATTCTTGATTAATTATTCTTAAGAAGAACTGCAGCTGCCATACAAGTTGCTGGAAGCCATTTTATCTCCTTTTGACATTCTTTTCCTCCTTCAATCAATTTTGCTTCATTATCTAAAGGAAAAGATGCACTCTTAAGAATAGTTTGGAGAGTTGGGGATTTTTCCTCGAGCTCATTTTCAAGGTTCTTCCAAGAGAATTCTAGCAGATCATCTTTTCTTGTCTTTCTGAGGATACTGGGGTTTTTTGATGAGCACAATAAGCAACACTCTTTGTTTATTTCCCTCTTCACAATTTCAATAATGCCTCTCCTAAGGCCAGGACTTTTCCATGCAGCAACAGCGATTTGCCTGTAGGTCCCCTTGATCAATGATTTTCCAAGTGGAATGAGATCGCTTGCCAACGACTTTGTCTTCATTCCAGAGGCCCAATCAACGGATATAACAACCGAAGGCACAACTTTGCTCTCACACTGGTCATTATAAGGAAATCGGGAACGTTTTGTAGACCATTTGTCAGAGTGACGCGGAGTCGAACAAATTATCGGTGAGAAGAGTGACGCGGAGCCCAAGCCTGTCACCTCTGAATCAGGCTTGGAATTCGAATGATCCACTTCGTATGACGGACAGGATTTACCTTGATCCTCAAACAACAATGTCCTTCTTATCTTTGATGGTCGGTCTGAACCTGGAAGGTCTTCTGAGCCAAGGCCGATTGCATCTGCAACTTTCCTGTATCTTGATAGAACTTTTTGATTCACTTCGTCTAGGCTTTCTTTCAATTTTTTCCGTTTCTTCAATATATCTACGCAGTTTCTACAAATATATTTCGATAATGGAACCAAAAACTGAAAATCAAGGCTCAAAATTTCTTCTTTTGGATTAAAAACGCCAGATCCTTCAACTAGATTTCGATCACACTTCAAAATGGTTTCTTGATAGCAAAGCGTGCAGTTGCTCTCATTCGACATTTTCCTTCATGCTCTCTGCTTGCGGGGTGAATTTATTGCGCAAGATTCAGCGCCTCTTCGCAGGAGGGCAGTTGCTCTCAGAACACAAAAACGGACGCTAATTCGCAGACTTTACAAGTTCCGTATTGGCTCTCCTTCGCAACGGATAGTAAAGTCTGCACGCAGGCTACTTAAAACTATGTCGAATGGAAAATCCTCTGGGATGGATGGAATTTCCTGCGAATTTTGCATGAAATCACCCAATAGAATTCCAACGTCTTGCTAGTGAATCTTTTGGACAATTCTTTTCCGCCAATGGCTCATTCATACTAAATAAGCACAATTACACTATCACTGACATGTTTCGTAATCTCAACAACATGCAGTTTTTGCAAGAAACATTCGCTGACTCCAGTGGTCCTGAAAATCCAAAAAGACACAGAAAAGACGAAAATATCTGGAAAAAGGCCACAAGCCACCAGCAAAGGTACCCGATTTTCGCTCTTTTCCTTCTGATTGTTCTTTGTCAAGTGCTTGGGAAAAAAGATTAAAAGAATGTCAGGAGGATCTTCTTTAAATTGGTATCAAGCCCGATGGTGACCTACAAAGCAGCTCAAGAAATGGATGGTTTTTTCACCTCATATTGTGGATGCTACAAGAGAGAAAGAAATTGTGGAGCAAATGTGGGTACCTAATGATGAGGTCAAGTCAGAGATCAAAAATTCAGACGGCAATGAAAAAAGAGAGAAACAAGAGTCCAATGAAAGTGAATCGATTGTGTACCCGGAACAATATTCAGAGCTTGCAGTTCATCTTAGGCAAATTGCAAATGAACAACACTAAGGTCGAGATGACAACCTTTATGCTACAAAAAATAACAAGGTAAAATTGACAATCTCTGTTCCTGATGTTGGAGAGGTTCATAAGTCGATTGTCTTTACAATGCTGAATGCTTCACCCGGCAGCTTGTCCAAAGATAGATTAAAGTGAGTAAAATCTAAACATATAAATGTATTGTCTGCTTTGTCTGTAAGCCTTTTCAACGAAATAAGACTGTTTGATGATGTTGCAGTGTTTCTGACTAAGCAAAAATCATTAAAATTAGCACACATTATTCGCATAAGAAACAAGACAAGAAATGTTGTTGAATTCACTGACTTCCCCGAAAGCAGTGTCTGCCAGGGTTGTGGGTGGTCTGAGCACCATCTTTCTCAGTGCGATACATCATTCTTCCCAGACCGAGCGGAACCCACGATGTAGAGTCCATTCCCGAGACACCAACGAAGACCACAATGGCCTTTGAAATATTTGGCAGCAAGGCTGGAAACTCAGCCACAGAGGATGAGGCAACTGCAGTTCCTGAGGAGACCACGCCTGATCCAGCTAGCGCCCTGGAACCCCCACCGACAGAAGAACTGAAGAACAACAAGGAGCAAACGAGCCTTGAAAAGCCACCCAGTAAACTCGAAGAGCCATCCAGCCTCAGTACATCCAAAGAACTGGTATGATACCCTGTTTTTTCAACAGGGTACCAACTCTTCTTCTAAATTCTGTTCTCCTCTTTTTCCTTACCCAATCCCCTCTGTCGATGCTGGCGTCCCAGCAGCTTCAAAGAGGTCCTTCCAAGACGACAATGTCTCTGACATTTCCGCTGTGTGAAGGCCCTCTACGAAAAAGAAGCCTAAAGGACGTTCAGCTCGGCAACCTCCCCCCAATTAAGTACCGATGATCTTGGAATTCCCCTCCCCCCTTGAGTGATGGCAGCAATTGACATATTATCAATAAATGTCCACGGACTTCGAGACCCTGTTAAGTGCTCTAACATAGTTGACTGGCTCCAAGCTAGAAAGGCATCAGCCATATTTTTGCAGGAAACCTACTTCTCAGAGTCTGCAGACACTATCTTTCTGAAATCCATCTGGAAAGGATCAATTTTCCCTCTTTTGGAGGAAAACACAGCAGAGGTGTTACCACCCTCATCAAGGAGTCCTTGAAAACCAACAATCACACAGTCACTCACGACAACTGTGGCCAATGGGTCAACCTTATATTAGACACAAACGATAAAAAGCTTCAGTTTTTGAATATCTATGTCCCATGCCCAATGGGTGAAAGGACTGCCTTTTTTCAAACGCTGCCCCACACAACAGGGGAGGGGGGAGTTCCAACAATTATCGGAGGTGATTTTATTTATCTAACTAATTTATATCTTGATAAACTAGGTGGTGACAGCCAAGCAGGTCCTACGGCCATAAAAGCTCTAACTGACCTTCTAAGGGACTTTAGCCTTATCGATATCTTTTGTTCAATGCATCTGCCCGTAATTTTATCTGGACTAATTCAAAAGTTTCATCTTGACTAGATAAATTTTATGTTGACTAGATAAATTAAATTTTTCTTCTGAGTATCTAGCTGATACAAAACACTGTGAGATAACAGTATCTCGCTTTTCTGATCATGATGCCCCGTTTATGTCCTTCAAATTACCAAACTCGTCACCTAGAGGGAGAGGTACCTGGAAATTCAACACCAGCCTACTCGAAAATGAAGAATTTACATGTAATATAAAGCATTTTTCGAAATTTTGGGTTTCTCGCAAAAAAGACTTTACAGGCAAACTACATCTTTGATGGGATATAGGAAAAAAGAAAATAAGAAACCAACGCAAAAAGTTTTCAAAGAGCACAGCTAAGGAAAAGAGAGAAAAACGGACAGCCCTGGGAGACAAACTGCAAAAAGCGACAATTTTAACTAATGGAAGAGAAAAAGAAACTGTCCCCCTGATTAGGAAAGAAATTGAAAAATTAGATCTTAACAACATTAATGGTGCACGTATCAGAGCAAAAGCCTTTGAATACCAATAAAATGAGAAATCTTTGCCCTATTTTTTCAGCCTTGAAAATTCACGTCAATCTACAAAAGTTATTTGTAAGTTAAAAAAAACCAGATGGTAGAGTAATACAGGATAGTAGGGACCTGCTTGGCTGTATTGCTAACTTCTACGAGTCCCTATATTCCCCTGACGCCAGGGGCGGATCCAGACATTCGCAACATTCGCACTGGCGAATGTCAGATTTCCACATGTCTTTTTGTAATTGTCTGTTAATACATTTTAGCATTGTGAATATTGTACTAGAAATGGCCAGATAATAAAAAAAAGGTCCACAGAATACAAGAAATAAAAGTTTTGTTTCCTGCCCTAGTTGCTATGATATCACCTTGTTGTTTACTTTTTAGGTTTTATTCCCTCGTTTTCGTGATTTAGAGATGATATATTCGAAAGAGGGCTCCCCCTTTTACGCATAAATTCACAGAGCACCAATAAGGTTTGATGCGAATGTCGAATGGAATTATAATATATTAGGCATGCGTGCGCAAATGAAGTAGTACTGAAAAATGTATGCCAAAAATTTGTGCGAATGTCAGTCAAGCTATGTTATTTAGCCATCTGAAAACCAATAGGAAATGTATATGGGAATTTTTTTTGCGAATGTGGCGAAGGTAGATGCGAACTATGTTCGGTAGCCAGTCGAGGGAGAGAACCTTGGAAAGTGAGCAGATTGAAACCTCGTTTCCACATCAACGGCCATGAGTGTTGTTGGAAAGCTGTGAAGATATTTGCTTGCAGAAGAGCAGCAATTGTACTTCAGAGTGAGTGAAAGGAGTCAAATATAAGATGATTTTTAATTTGAATCAGCGGATTTCTTATGAAGATGTTCAAAGTTTGTCGAAGATTTGGGTTGATGGATGGAATTTGATAGATGGCAATATGCGAGGACAGTTCAGTTGGACCTAAAATTGTTGAACCAAAATTTTGCCTATGTTTTCATTTTCATGATGGAGGACGTTATTTAGACAGAGATTCAGACTCAAATAATATTTTGAAGAATACGTGATGCTTTTTAAGGTAAATAGCCATTTTTATGCAGGCTGTCAATCAGAACTTTTAGGGTTCAAGTCAGGTATATCTTCATAATGATGATGTAGCATTCTGACGAATGATGCTGTTCTATAAATATCTTGATGAATTTGAATATGCTGAATTTTAGAGTTCTAGATATTTTTTTTGATAGATGTTGTTATTATCACAAACCTGTAAATAGTTTGACTGTGCTGGGGATTTGTTTTTGAATAAGATATTGCATTTTCTACGGCGTATTCTTTTCTTGTTAATTTTATGCTGTCAGTTTTGGAAAAATCTAGACTGCCATATTTGTAAATGAGAAATTGTAATAGTATTTTGATTTTATTTTTCTGGTCATGCCATAAATATGGTAACCCTTTTCATGAGTTTAACCTCTAAAACTAGTAAAATTATTTGTGGTTTCCACACTATAAGAGTATACCATTTGAAACTTTTGGTTCTGAAATACCCTTAAGATTCATTAATTTTTGTTTATGAATTTGCAAGTGACTGACAGTTTTCTTTTCTATGTTATTGTGTGTGTAAATAAATGTAAATATGGGTAGTAAATAAGTGCAATCAATGGAATGATCCTAATGGGGGAATTACTACATTATTAATAAGAAATTCACAGCAAGTTGGTTCTGCCAAGTAAATATCTTTATATAAATCCATATAGTAAAAGTTACCATGTTTGCCTTATTTCTTATGCCATTACTGACTTTGTTTGATGTACATTTAAAATTTGTATATAATATATATTTATGATGTTCTTGTTATGGAAAGACAATGAATTGTTTTAAATTCTGTTACATTTGCTGTTTTACCAACACCTGAAAATACTAAAATTGTATGATGTGTATTGACCTAACTGGTATTTTTGGCCATGTTTAAGGCACATCACACAGCAGTTTAGATAGAAAGGTGAATGCACAAAATAAATAACAGAAAAGCTCTGAGCCCCTAAGGTATTTGGTGTTGAAGTCAAACATTTGGGTGGATATTGCATTGAAAATTTCTACACTAAACACAGTATTTGATTGTTAAATAATATCATTGTATAAATAGAACTAAGATTCCTTTCTGTAAATGGCTGTTTTTTAAGTGAGTGACATAA